GAGAGATATTTTTGAGAGCAGATTTGTTTTGCTCAACATAAAAAACCTTTAAAGACACCAGTGGTTATGCTTTGGTTGATGTTGGAGTTTGGTTTTATTTAAACATTTGTTATCGCATCCTTACGGTGTACCTGAAACTCATAAAATCCATTCATTGTATTTGTAATACAAATATCTGAAAAATTGTTTTCTTTCGTTTTCGAGTTCAACGGTATATTTTATGGAGGGGATTTGTTCATATATATATATATATATATATATATATATATATATATATATATATATATATATATATATATATATATATATATATTTATATAAATAGTTGAATTCTTTTTTTTGAAACATATTTTGGCTTTATAAGCTCCCATTTAGTTTTATAATAAATGATACATACTGAACATATATAATTATATTTTAACTTGTATGTAAGTTTAAAAAACAATTAACATTATTAACTTTATAACAGACATATGCTAAAGGTTTTTTTTTTATTAAAATTATATGGTGAAATCTCTATGCTGCAGCCAAGGTAGCAGCATGGATTTTTGTCTACCCCCCTCTAATAATTATTTTACAAAAATATAATCTTAAAAAGATTAATTTTTAATTAAATATATCAAGTGCTACTTAAAAGAAACAATTTTGATATTTCCAAGTTGTTTTTATCCTTTTATACACTAATGTTGTAATGATCAATTCTTTACTTTGAATGCAGAAAAAATAAAAAAACAGCTTTTTTGTTATTCATTTTTTTTACTTCGAGGTTTTTTCATTTAGACATGTCTTGCAGTTGATTACATTTTATGTATCAAAAAATGTCAAGATGCACTTGTCAATTCACTGAAGAAAGCAATAGTTAAGTTTTATGGAGAAGATCCAAAGGGATCTAAGAGTTATGGGAGAATCATTAATGAAAGACACTTTGAGTATGAAATACTTTATTATCTCGGAAGCAGCATTGTATTTTTTAAAAGCTTTATTAAAAGTTTTATTATTTTGTTTTAGGAGAGTTTGTAATCTAATCAACTCTTCAAAAGTTGTTTTTGGCGGCAATTTTGATAAAAGTAATTTATATATTTCACCAACAATATTATCTAATGTTACAGCAGATGATTCAATAATGAGTGAGGAAATATTTGGACCACTTCTTCCTATTCTGTGTATTGATAAAATAGATGAAGCTATAGATTTTGTAAATTCCAGGTAAACATAATTTTAATAAAAAACTCAATGTATATATTTATGATATTTATACATTTCAGGCCTTATTATAAAAGCAGGAGTGATTACATTGTGCATGTGAAACACACACATTAACAGATCATTCAAGACCAGATGCAATAACACTTGCTAACCTACTAACAAGGTTAAAAAATTGCGCTGATCTCAAGCAATTGGAAGGGAAGAAACTATTCATTAATTACTTGAATTTGCATAAACTATTTTTGATATAAAGATTTTTTTTGAAGAAAAACCTTGTTTAATTAAACATAGTTTCAAACTATGTTTAATTAAACAATGTTTAATTAAATAATGGTGTCTGCCTATTCATCATAACCTAAATGAATAACACCTGTTATTTTGAAGAAGATATAGAACATGTTTTTCAGCTCAAACTTGTTGCATGTAACTGTAGTTTTTTGATTATAACCTTGATATTGATTGTAAATTGATTATTTCATGTCGGGGCTTCAATTATATCATGTGTTGCATGAGGTTTTTTTTTTCAATAATGGTATGCCCACATTCTATATTCTTATCTGTACATGTGGTTTAAAGTGAGCAGTAGGGTGTAGTGAAAAAACTTTTTTTCAAAATTGAAAATTTAAATATTATTTTCAGATGTCCATAGACATTTTAAGATATACTGTTAAAAATTTTTTTTCATAACTTCAAAATAAATTACCAAAATGGGGTAAATGGGAGAGTTATTAACAATAAATAATCATAACTTTTAAACACAACATATTTTTGTCAAAATTTAAAAACTGCAATTAAATTTTTGTCCATTTCAAAATAATAATTAAAAAAAAAAAGAAAAAAGTTTATTACAGACTTTTTAAATAAGGAGGGGTGGTAGCGGTAGGGAGGGGGGGATTATTGAGTTTTAAGATCAAGTCTAGATAACAATGGTTTTTTTTGTTAACTATCCTTATTAGCCACATTTAGGGTGGGTATAATATATCAAAATTTTTGGCATAACGCTTTCCAAAATTAAAAAACTATACAAAGAGTAGACCAGCAAAATGAGCCCTTTACTGATTATGGACCCCATTTAGTATAAATAAAAATATAAATTCGTGAAGATCCAATAAGTTAAGAAATATATACACTCATATTAAAAAATATAAAAATTATATAATCATCAGTTTTAGGTTCTTTTTGGTATTGTTTTTAGGTAAGAGTTTGCTGTGATGGCAACCTGCTCGAATAAAACCATCTCTTGAATCGTGTCCGTAGACAGCAGCACAAGCTCTTGTTGTTTGTTTGACAGTCTGCTTAATACTTTGTGTGTGGCATGGTATGGAATCAACAACCATGGGATTCACCTTAAAATTAACTATTGTCTCAGTAGAAAAGCTACATGTTTGAATTGGCTCAAATACATTATGAGTCCAAGAACATAACTCAGTAAGATTCTTAGCATCTATGTTTAAAAAAGAAGAATGAGTCCTTTCTCGGACAGATGTTTCTCCTTTGTCAAAACCACTTCTGATCTGTAGAATACGATCTACTGCAAAAACCCGTTCTTCCACTATAGAACTACAAAGCAAAGTGGTTAGAACAGCTTCACTGTGAGAAAACCAGGCTCCTAATATGACGTATTTTTCAACAATATCCCTAGTAACCTGGCTTTGCATTTTTACTAATCTTAAGGTTTCTAAAATATGTCTTGGACCCTCAATAAAAGACCACCTTACTTTTATATCAAACCACATTGGATAGTAAACACCAACAACATATTCAACTAAACAACTTAAATTATTAAAGTTTTGCCCAGACAGTCCATGAACTGATACCCAAATTTGCATCAGTCTATTTGCAGTGGTCAACCATCTGCTATGATTAACAGGGCCACACTCCATCTTTATGAGATCTATAGGTATGTTACCTGAGCGTATAGCTAAAACCATTTTATAACCATAGAGCTGATTAGTTGAAAGATCATCTATCATATCTTTACTTAATTCAACTGGTCTTTTACCAATGGTTATTGTTGGAAATGCATGTGCTACTGGAAGTAGTGTAGCACGATTTAATAGTTTACCCACAACTCCGCTGAACCCATTATTGGAAGTTGTTTTACCATCTAGTTCCTCAATAAGATGTCTAAGCGGAAGCTCATTAGTATGCAGCATACATATAATCCATGTTAATTTTTTATTTAGAAGATCCTCTATTCTTCTTATAGCCCCACCTAATCTTCCAGTGTTAGTAGCTTTCTGCTCCAATATACTGTAAGTTTATATCAAGTTTTCTACACCAATCTGCTATAGGTTTAGCTATCATTAATGCAGGTTTTTCGCCCACACCAGGCTTAAGAGGAGAGAAATGGAATACATATTTTCCACCTGGTTCACTAGTGACAGTGTAGAAGTCCATTTTTATTGTTTTATAATAATATTTTAATGTCGTTTTATCTTGATTATTAGTAAGAGTTAAATTGTTTCTACTGTCAAAAAATAATGCTTTTATTTCTTCTGATACAACTGTAAATCTTCTATCTGGAATTTTTCAATTACTTTTTTCTTTTCCCTATGAATTTTATGGTGGTCAATAATCAATTTATTATTTTTTTTATTAACAATGCCAAGATCTACAAGAACTGCAAAAGAAATAGCAGCAGCTTCTCTCTAACTTGTTCCGTATCTTAAAACTGTTTGAGCAAGAAGAGGAAAGTGATTTGTATTGATGACAGATTCCTTTATTCCATCATCAAATTCAGTGTCAATAAACTGGTTAGAAGAAACATTCTCTTTCTCAATGACATCTACCTCTATTTCTTCATTAAAAAACTTGTTATTATTTAACTTTACTTTCTTCTCCTCTAATTTTTTAAAGATTAAAGCTTTTTCTTTTCTTTTGCATTGCTTAGATAGTCGAGTGTGTTCTTTTTTATCTATACAATGTATTTGGTAAACACTTTTCATTCCAATTTTCAATCTCTGAGCTTTGATAAACTTTAGCTCTATTTCTGAAATTTTTAAATTTGATGGACAATTACAGGTCGGAGAAATAGCAGAATGAGAACATTTAGGATCAGAACAAGTTGGATCTTCTTTGCATATAACAATGTGCTTGCAACGAAGAATATCAAACAATATAACAATTTCATTATATAACTTATCCTTCTGAGAACTTTTCACTCTGCCCCAAACAGTTTGAGTAACTCTTTTCCACTCTTTTTCAATTCTCTGAACTATATAGTGATTTGGTCGAATTTGAATATTGGTATTCACTTTTTTATACTGTGCAACAACCTAAATAAGAATTTAAAAATATTATTTAAAATAGCACAATGCAATAACGAAACATTAGAAAACAAATATATATTATATAACAATGTTATTAAAATATTAGACTTAGCTAACTTTACAAGATGATTTTTTGGCAGCTTCGTGAACAATCTCTTTTGAAACATACTGAAGATTAGTGTCTAAGGTCTCCATTTCTAACAACATTAGTTAAAAACATTTCTGAGGGTTAGTAATTCAGAGGGTAACAAATCAGCACTAAAACCAATGAATTCTTTAACTTTTTTGCTGCCTGGGCAAGAAATACTACGTGTCCTTTTTATTTTATTCATAATATTTATTAATCTATAAAAATTATATATATTTTTTTAAATATATAAATTTTATATATATCTTTAAATTATATATATTTTTTATATATATCTTTATATTATAGATCCTATAAATTTTTTAAAAGAACTTAATATAATATAACTAATTGTTAGTTATATTATTTATAAGTTATTGAGAAAATGTATAGGGTATGTGCAGGAATGTATATTTGGCTAATATACTAGAATAGAAAATAAATTTACAAACAAAAAAAGTCAACTTTAGATTATTTTTTATTCTTTAAATCATAAACATAAATACATAAAAAATCACAAAAGTTTAGTAGTTGTCCTAAAATATATTCATTTTTCTCTCTGAACTTTTTTATAACTCTACTTAAAATAACTAAATAACTCTTTACACTTTGCACAACAAAATCAAGAAAACGCATAACATAATTTTAAAATGCATACATCGCAAATTTATATAAAATAAATAAAAAATAATTTTACAGACCATTAAAAGCTGAAGTTGAAGGTTTTTGTTTTGCTATAAAAATATTTAATATAATTTTTTAAAATAATAAATTTTATACAAATGAAATAAAATTTATTGATAAAATAAAATTTGTTTAGTATTTTAAAAATATGTGGATTAATTTAATTTATATAAGTCTGTATTTTGTTTTTTATACGATGTTTCCGTTAATTCTGCTTTCTACCAAAAATAGTAATTTTATTTAATTTAATCATTATAAAATATTTAAAACTTCATTTTGGTAATTTATTTTGAAGTTATGAAAAAAAAATTTTAACAGTATAGCTTAAAATGTCTATGAACATCTGAAAATAATATTTAAATTTTCAATTTTGAAAAAAAAGTTTTTTCACTTCACCCTTCTGAGCAGGGATCATCTCTCTACCATCTTGAAATAGAGCAGCCCATTTGGTAACTGTACCATATTTGGTATCTCTACTCTAGCGTATTTATGTAATTATATGTTTATGTAAATATATATCATGTTACCCTATTTTTGTTACATTCATTTATTAGGTGTTTTCAGAAAAAGATTAAAAAAACAAAGAATAATGTATGAAAAGATTGCTGCCCTGTGCCAAACCCTCAGTTTTTGTAGAGGCACTCCCTTAGAAAATTTTCAGCTTAAAAAAAAATAAAAAAGTGCATATGAGATTAGTAGAGAAATTGATTTAGGAGTGACTTTTTTCTCAACGTATACATTTCTAAACTCAATAATATTTTCTTATATATTTTTTTTAATAACATGTTTAGAATATTACGATAAAAAATAATATGTAAAAATAATATAACCAAGTATTCAAAATTCATTTTCTTTTTTCATTGAATGTTTTCTATCTGCTTAGTAAATGATTGTGAAGAAGTTAAAAGAATTTACTTAAAAAATAAAATAAAGATTTTGTTTTGATTTACCAGCTTTATATTTCTTTTATGTGTCACCTTTCTCTTTTTCTTTTATCATTCTCTCACTTCTTTAGACAACTCCAACACTAATTCATTATTGCTTAACTGACCTTTGTGCGGCAGCTCATTTAAAAACTGCTGGGCCTCAATTTAAAAACTGCTGGGCATGCAAAATTGTTTTAGAACTGGTTAGCTAATACCATATCACGGTTACAGTGTGGCACCTTATCGGGAAAGGTAGTATATCTTGAAATCATTTTTTATTCACTACATTCAAGTGTAAAAAGGTAATTATAGTCCAATTCTTAGCACATGAATTCAAAAAATTTTCATATAAAATGTTAGTTTTGAGAGAGATGATTGTTTTTGTGATAAACTTTACAATATACTAGTTTAGTATCTGTATATATAGTTTAGTATCAGTAAAATTATTTTAGTCTTTTAGTGTATTAGCATCAATCTCATTTCCCCATATTACTTTTCATCTATGATATGAGATGATTTAATGCCTAAGACATTTTTTATTCGATATAGAGAAAAACCGTTGGCACTGTATGTCTTCTCGACTAATTCGTCTATTGTAGAGAAGATTTTAAAACAAACATCTTCTGGAGGTGTTTGTGTAAACGACGCTCTCGTACATGGTGCTGGTAATGCACATTTTTTTTTTTTTTAAAGTATAATATTTGGTATTACTTTTTATTTACATTTAGTAGTAGTTTATTTTAGCTGTTAAAAATATTTTATTTAGTTCCCAACCTTCCTTTTGGGGGAATTGGTCAAAGTGGTATGGGAGCTTATCATGGAAAAGAATCATTTGACGTTTTTTCTCATAAAAAGTCATGCTTATTGAAGAATCAAAAGTTTGAATTTATGAACGAGTAAGTGTTTTTTTATATGTTTTTATGAATAGCTGCGACCTGACATTGGTATAAGAAATTCTGTTGAAAAAATTACTAAATATCTTCAATTAAATGTTTATGACGTGATTGCTTTAATTATTGTTAACTATAAAAAGTTTATATTTAATTAAACATAGTCTGAGTAATAAATTATATCCACGATTAAATATTTAAATTAAAAATCAAACTGAACGTTATAATTTAGTTACTTGAACTTTAATTAATATAAAGGCATAAATCAGTAACTTGGCTTTAAATACAATCTTTGCATATTTTTATTAAAAAATAGAATTTACTATTTTAATAACTTTTTTTTTTTAATTTTATTTAGTATTCGATACCCGCCTTATGACGAAAACTGGTTTGTTATACGTTGGGTTCAGTCGTTGTTGAGACCAAGTTTAAAACGTCGATTTCGTTTCAATTTATTTCATGTCTCGCTTTTGGCACTTATTGTTGCGTGTATACTAAAAGCGCTTGCGATGTTTTAATCGTAAAAGAGTCGAAGTTCATTATTTGATGCAATGTACATTAAATTTTGAGGATCTTAAGAAAGCTTGTATTTATTGTAATTTTTTTGAATAAGTGATTAATTTGCCTTTCGTATTCTGTGATTTGCGTAAAAAAACACATGTATAAATTGTAACTAAATTAAAGACAAATAAATATATTAAATGTATTTTTATATTATTTTTAATTGATAATTGGTATTGCATAATATATAAAATTTATATTGTCATTACAAATTTTGTATTTTGTTTTAAAATATTTAAATATAGTGTGCTTATATGTTTTTCATTAAGTAAATAAATTATTTTGTGCAACGGTTTTTATTATTACTATTGTTTTTTTATTTTTGTTTTATTTTTTTATTTGATAAGTTGTTAGTTTTTATTTAATAAAAGTTTTATAGTTAAAGCGAAAGTTTTACTGCAAAACAGGGAAGTATCTATAATGCAGTGGATATCGTTAGCACAGCAAAAAGTAGGATTTAGGACATAAACATAGTAAAAATATTTGTTTTTTATGGAAAGAAGCTGTGGATTGTAGTCAACAGCCTCAAAAAATTAGCCTCGCAGGCTTTTTATTGTTTTCTTGCTAATTATGATATGTCTAGATCAAGTCCCTTCAAACATTATGTCCAGACATCTGTCACTGGAGACGAAATTCCTCAAAATAAGAGCAATCTAAAAGCTCTGAAAACATATTAGCATTACATTAACTTACAAGCTTAAGAGACAAACGAAACAATCTTTGGCAAATCTTACTGGAGTTATATTAGATTGTTATGAGCTGTAGTTGGCCAAAAATTCTGTGGTGTACTATACAGTACATGGTTTTGTTTGTTATTCGTGTATTGCTAAAGTAGAATTTAAACAGGAAGTGAATTTAAAATTATTATGTGTTACATTAAAAATTTATTTTGTAATGAAAATTTTAATTCTATATTACGAAATATAATTTTTCATGTATTATATTCAATAGTTTGTGAATATAATTTTTCATGTATTATATTCAATAGTTTGTGAATATTTTGTACACAAGTCTTATTTTGCCCACAAGCAATACTGAAGTGCTAAATATAGTGGCTGTATAACCGATAATGAAGATAAGAATTCACTAAACTATACTATCTTTACTATTAATTTTAAGTAAATAAATAACTATATATTGTAGAACCTGTGTATGAAATTAATTTCTATTAAATGATATTTGGCAATTTAGAAGAGAAAATTTAGATTGAGAAAATTAAAAAGCCAACGCAAGCTTTCTTAACTTAGCCGTGTATAAGGAACCTTTTTGTTCCCAATGTAAAAGAGCTTTTAGTAGTCATACTAAAAATTAAATTTTTTCATTAGTAATCGAAATAACTCAAAAAAACATTGCGAGAATTCTCTCGCTATAGAAGCATTGCGTTTTTTTAAGGAGCCGGATATAAAAAACAAAATGTGCAAACACCTGCTAACCATTTCATCTGTCTTTAGGCTATAAAATGCAATATTATTATAGATTAAGAATAACTTTATACTTTGTTATACTTAGTGTGTTTGTCAGGAATTTTTAGTTATTTGTCATATTCATGGGTAATGTTACAGAGGGGCAATGGCAGAACGCCTAAGTTATAGTTTGCAAGTACCGTTCTGAACTTCCTACAAATATGATATTGTAGAAATCAATCAAATGTAATGCACTTCCTCATAGTTAATGTTAAATAATTTCTCCTGCTTCAACTTCTTATAAGAAAGTACTAGCAGATCCTTAGCAAGTTTTTATGAGTACTAGAGTAATAATAAGACTGTAAGCACTTCTTAGAAATAGAATAGTATCTTTCAAGTATATACTTAAATCCACCTATTTAAAAGTACAAAAAATTTAATTTTTTTATGTATATTAAAACAATATCCCACATTTTTACTTGGTAAAAAAAATCGATGAAATATTTTTTAAGATTTTTTGTAAAAAATAAATTTTCTCAATGTTCTTAAAAAAATAAATAATACTACTTTTAACAGAAGTTAGTTAGAAGTATGATATTAAAAATATGATATTAAAAACTAGAGGTGTACCGGATATAGCATTTTACGTATCCGACCGGATACGGATATGCCGGATTTAAAATTTCATATCCGGCTAGATATGCCAGATATACCGGATATGTTGAAAGTTAGGATAGGATTTAGTTTTGATATTTGTTTTTAGTCAAATTGGGAATGTGCAAAATAGTGTGTAAATCCACAAAAAAAAAAAAAATTGTATTACATTTTGCATGTCTGTCTGCATAATTGGATTATCTGTTTTTATTGTAGTTTGAAAATTTATTAACAATTTATTACGTAGCAATAACTTTAAAACTAGGTTGCTATCTAAATTTCCAAACTATGTATTATTACTTTAATTTTTTTGTTATGTTTTTTTATTGTTTTCTTTACAATGTAACAATGCATTTGGAATTTAACAATGTTTAAATTGAAAATTAACAATGCAATATTAATTTCAATGTAGTATTTATACACTGTATAGATATCAAAATTACCATCTGTATAATACAGATAAATATCTTGGTATCAAATGTATGTGTATAATTATTATACACATACATTTGATACCAAGATATTTATTAAATATTTAACTATTATACTAAAATAATTAAATATTTAATGTCAATTGTGAACACGTTTAACTTTATATTTCAGACAAACATAATAATGCAGAGCTTTATCTGGTCATTGTATAAAATTAATGATGCAAGTGATGTGTATGCAAACTGTAATATCTGTAAAAAAATGATTAAACGTGGAACTATGGAGGCTGGGCAAAAATGTTTTAGCACAACACCTCTGCATAACCACATCAAAATAATTCACCCAAAAGAATACCATATAGAACGAAATAAAAATGAACAGAAAACAAAAGCTCAGGCTGTCAATAAAATCACACCAGAATTTTTTTCAACTAGTAGACGAATATTTAAAATATAAATATAAAAAGAGACTGCTTTGGAAACTTCTAAACAAACTTCAATGGACGAATATTCAAAGTCACAAAAGGTATGGAGCATTAATGACTCTAGGTCGCAAACTATTAATCGTAAAATTGGGTTGATGATGGCCTTAGACAGCCAGCCATTTACTTTAGTTGAAGATACAGGTTTTAATAACTTAATGAACCATTTAGAACCTAGATATTGCATGCCAAGTAGAAAATTTTTTTCTAAAACAATAATACCTCAACTTTACATGGAGTTAAATAATAAAATTTCTGATAAATTAATAAAAACAGATTACATAAGCTTTTCTTCAGATATATGGACATGCCCAATTTCTCATGAATCATTTATTTCATTTTCTAGCCACTCCATCGATAAAGATTTTAATAGATTTGATGTGGTATTACATGCTTCTCATTTTTCTGAAAGCCATACTGGAATAAACATATCCAAAAAGTTAGAAAGTATGTGGGATAGCTGGAAAATTGAAGCTGAAAGACGACATATTCTTGTAAGAGATGGTGCAAGCAACATGATAAGTGGGAGTAACCTAGCTGAAATTCCTGCAATCCATTGTACTATTCATTTACTTCAATTAGTTGTTTCAGATTCAATAAGTGAAAATATTGTAATTGATGTTCTTTCAAAATGTCGTCGACTTGTAACTCATTTTAACCATTCATCTCTAGCATGTAACAACTTTAAACAAATTCAGCTGCAACAAAATCTCGACCCTCTTTGTCTTGTTCAAGATGTCCCAACAAGATGGAACAGCACTTATCTTATGCTTGATAGATTAAACAAGTTAAAAATTCCAGTTCAACTATACTTAGCAGAACGTTCTGATTTAATGCCCTTTTCTACATTAGAATGGACATTAATATTAAACATTATTAAACTGTTAAAGCCTTTTTTCCAATTAACTCAGGAAATGAGTTCAGAAATAACAACTTTGTCTTCTGTAATTCCAAATATGTGCTCATTGAAGAAATTTATGTCAAAATGTCAAGTTGATTTAAGTATTCAAGAAACAAAGAATCGGCTTACAACTTCTTTAAAAAATCGATTTTTTTCTGAAATAAATGATGCGAAGTCTTTAAACATTTTGAAAAATAGGTACTATGTCATAGCTACTTCAATTGATCCAAGATATAAGTTTTCTTTCTTTGAGGATGATATCAAAAAACAGGCTAAGTACTGGTTAATAAATGAAATTTTATCCTTTGAAAAAACTCTTGTTTGTTCTGAAGAAGTAGATTTTAGTGTAAATGAAGAACCATCACAATTAAATTTTTCAATTAATACTGAAAAAGAAGACACTCTTGAAGCATGTTTCAAAGAAATTATAAATGCAACATCTGAAAAAACATTACCTTTTAAAAAATTAAAGTTAGAGAAAAAATCAAATGAGATTTTGATTGGAAAAGAAATAAAAAAGTTTTATTCTGAACCACTTGTAGACAGAAAACTCTGTCCAATAAAGACATGGATGCAAGAAGAACGATTCCCTCTTTTAAAAACAATTGCTTCAAAACATCTATGCACTCCTGCATCATTCATATTTTCTGAAAGATTGTTCTCAGAATATGGTAATATCTATGAGAAAAAGAGATCTAGGTTATTGCCTAAAACAGCAGAAATGCTTTTGTTTATTCACCATAATGGGAGGAAAATAGAATGACTCTTTGCATTTACTCATTTGTTGAAACTTTATTTGTTATGTTCTTTGATAGTATTATTAACTTTTTAAAACATTTTGTTTCATTGAATTTAATAATTTAATTTAAGAGGCATTCATAAAGTATGTATGCAGGTATGGGAGGCGACATTATCTAAAAATGTTTAAATATTATCTAAAAGTGTACAAGTATGTATAAGGGGTAGGGACAAGAGGGCAAATATGCAAAGTAAAAGCAAGGTCAAGGCAGCAAATATGTAAATGGTTGGGCCATCTTTTTCATGAATTTTACTCCAAAATATTTTTCAAAATTTTTATTTTAAATAAAGACAATTTATTGAGTGAAAAAATCTATAACAAAATATCAAAAAAGAAAACAAAAAAAAAGTTTTTGATTTCAAAAAAATATAATAAAAGCAAAAAAAAATTTAAACATTAAAAAAAAAATTTTTTTATTATTTTGATAGAAATTTTTTTTGCAAAACAAATTCTTTAAATTCTCAATTTCGATCATTTTAAATCTTAAAAAAATTGTTGGAAAGTTATGACTGTGTTTTTACCCCTCTCCAAATTGAAGGGGTAATAAATTAAACATGGTCATAACTTTGGAATATAAATTAATTGATGAAATTTAAAACCTATTGATGAATTTACCTAGAGTATTAGATAGTGTAATGAAATAACTAAATGATTTCCCTTGCATTTGGGATTGTTGGTTGAGAAAATAACCTCTAAGGTTATTTTTGTTCCCAAGCTCTAATTACCATGATTTTTTGATGCAAAACACTTTCATTCTATGGAAGCATAAAAACTTAAGTTTAGAGTTTGCACAAAGCTTGATAATGTCATATCTGAGACTTTTAAAAACATCATGTTAGAGCGTGTCGGTAAACCATTTTGATTTAGAGTTCTCAAAATTAAATTTCTACTTAAAAGATAAATTACCCTCCCCTAAAAAAATGTATTTATTAAATAATTCTTAATAGTTTTTCAAACCTCTTTGTGCTAGTATTATCCGATACATCCGGCCGGATATAGTATATATCCGGCCGGATACCGGATAGTAAATTATCCGGTATTTTCAACCGGATATCGTATCCGGTACACCTCTATTAAAAACCACTTGAATTTTGGGTCTTTATCAACTTTTTTTGTGTCAAATAAGTATTGAAGATGTAACTATATAAACTTTTTTTTGTTTTATTGAAAGACTTTTTTTCCATGTTGCAAAATTTTAGCCTATTTGCTAGTCCAAACTTTAGGCATTTTCGTAATATTTTTTCTCTAGAAATTTAAATTTTTGAGGAACCCTGTTACCACTTGGCGGTTTTTAGTAATAAAATCCCAAAAGAGATTGAGAAAACTTTAAAATCCTCAATAAAATGGTGGAATATTTAAGAACAGAGAAACATTTTCAAGCAAACTCTTGAAGAAAACATTAAAGAAAATATCCTTTTTGTCTTTTCAAATTTTTACTATTTTTTTTTTGTACTTTCACCTTGTAAAATTATCTACAGTAGGTGATTAAGAAAATTATTGTTAGAAGAAAAAAATCGCAATTTGGTACTCAAAAGACGTAGAATCAAATACTAGTTTCGAAAAAATAAATTTTATTGCATGGGAATTTTTTGTCAAAAAAAAGTTGCAAGATGACACCTAAAATTGCGCTTTTTTGGCGTTAGAATAATCTTGTTTCATCTCCACGTTTTTGAGTTAAGAGAGAAAATGATTTAAAAAATAAAAACTTTAGACGGTGTTTCTCAAGCAAAAAAAACTTAAACTAAAACTCTTGTTTGGACATAATACGCTGATAAAATTATGCAAATTTCAAATAAAAGAATTTAAATAACTTGTAAATCGCCTTAACTTCACTGAGTACGGACTTAAGGGATGCCCCCTTAGATCGCGTACAAAATCGACAATGTGTATTTTTATTGCCCTAGATTTGGGCTGTGGCAAATAGGCTAAGACTTAAAAACTTGAAAAATGAATTGACTATGAAACTCTAAATAATCACCTTCCTCATGTTGGGGAAAGAAAAATAAACAATTGTTTTATAAGATGTATAAATTGCTAAAATACATTATAGAGTAAAACATTATCAAATGCAACGCCATCAATTACACCGCCACTCATTGACAACTTCACATTTGATTCAAATGAAGTTTTATTCAACTCATTAGGAGAAAAGTATGGACTCAAAGGATCTTCTAAATTTGGATGATGGAACAAGTTTAATAAACCCTGAACGCAGTCTAATAAATCATTTGAGTCATTACGCCACTCATCTAATATACTCATACAAACTTCACCATCGTCATCAATGTTTGGATGATAAATGTGCCCTTGACATTGTACTATAGGAGGTGCATGAGGATAATTTAAAGGAAGGTTAAAGAAAAAAAGAAAACATCCACCAGAGTAAGGGCCGTCATTTGGTGAAATCGAAAGCATAAACTTGTTACAAACATCACTATCCAGTATGAAAGCTTGATTGTTCGATATATTTGAAATATTTTTAACCAACTGCAAATAATGTTGTTGTTGAACTCTTTGCCCACTGATGTTAGAATGAACTTTTTTTCCACCAATAATATTGTTTAGGATATAATCATTGAGCTTAGTTAAATCACCGCTGAAATTTTCATGCATGGTTTTTAATGGTCTTGAATGTTTGATAAAAGCCATTTCGCATAATTTTTATATTTGCATACGCTTTTGTGAAGGTTATTGCACACCAGCAGAATGCCATTTTATGTTTGCTAGTAAACTACCTCATTGTTCGTTAGTCTTCTATATTTGAAACAAATCTGAATCTAACCTAATAATTGTAAAAAAAAAAAAAATAGTTTAGAAAAGCAAAAACTAGAAATTTAACATTAAAAAAAAATTTATTGCGTTTGGTTGCTTTAAAGCAATTTAGATTAAAACATTATACTTTATGAATATTATTATGTAGATAATAATAATAAGAACGAAGGTTAAGAGCAAAACGATTTCAGTACTCCGAGATTTTAAATTATAGTTTTGATGAACAGTTACATTAAAAAACAAAACACATTAAATTATTATAAATTACAAAAAGTCAATAAAAAAGAAAACAAAAGAAAAAAACTTAAAGCAATTTTTTATTAAGAGCTTACAACTTAGAAAAAAAAATTCAAACCTAATAAGACTATGATTATGATCTAGCTGATAATAATTGTTGTGAACCCGCAATAAAACATATAACAATATATAATTTACTTCCAACAATATTGCTTCTAGCAATCACTATTTAAATTAGGAATAAACAGAAAACAAAGAGTAGTGTTGAAGAGCAAGAAAACGATTGATAGAAGACTTTAAAAGTTGTGAATTGCATGATTTGGGCAAATATGAAGATAGGAAAAAGTTCCATTTGATGTTTAAGCAAAAAAACGAGATAAACATGTTATTAGAGCTTATTAGAAAAAGTGAAAAGATGCAACTTTATGAACAAGTCATGGTAGACTAAGTTTTGGTTGATGAAATAAGAGATGATAGATTGCTTGTACAGCAACCAGAGAAAAAGATGTTTTTTTACCACAATGTAACATTAGAAGAACCAGCATAATTGTGATAGCAGTATTCCATACATGGATAACTAAGAGGTTTGTAGTGGTAGAGAATGGAATCAAGAGTAAAAAAATAGCAATAAAAAGAAACCTTTAGCAGCTGCTAAATTTCCAATGGATTGTATATATTGTTTCCATGAGGATCAGTAGTGAATGATAATCCAAAAAGAGGCAATGTAGAGGATACAGTAAGCATGTCTCATCCATTCCATTCATCAAAACAGGAATATCAACAAAATTGAAGTAATTGTTACCAGTTTTGTTAGGGTTGAAATTCAAAAACTCCCAGCTGTCACAGAAATGAAATCAGATCTAAGACCGTCTGCCTGTTTTCTGGAAAAGAGAAGACATCTTTTCAAGACAGTTAAACTTTTTGTCAGACAGTATAAAGTTGTCAGCAAAAAAGGCCACTTTAGATGTAAGATTGTTGGGAAGATCATTAAAGTAGTCTCAAGTAATTAAACCTTGCTAATGTTACCATTAAACTAAATAAACATCTAAACCAGGCATTTTTCTTGGTTTTTCATTACATATTAGGTTTTAAAATTATAGGTTTTTAAAGTATAAGTTTTATTAAATTATTAGTGTTATATTTTCTTTATTAGAGTTATATTTTTTTTATTAGTGTTATATTTTCTTTATTAGTGTTATATTTTCTTTATTAGTATTATATTTTCTTTATTAGTGTTATATTTTCTTTACTAGTGTTATATTTACTTTATTAGTGTTATATTTATAGCGCATACTAAAAGACGCAAGGTCGTTTCCCTTCATTTAAGGTTTGACGGTTTAGCGAACTATATATTAATTACGTTCTATCGTTAATTCTATCAATGCGTTTCACTTACTTTATTATCTATATTATATTACGTTATTGTAGTTACTTACAAGTATATACTTGGTTAAAGCCTAATATTTAATACTGTATATATATATATATATATATATATATATATATATATATATATATATATATATATATATATATATATATATATATATATATATATATATATATATATATATATATATATATTGCCAAAAACTTTTCATCAGTACCATCTCTTGATTCCACTAGTTGCATTCTACCTGATATAGCTGTCAAACAGGTTGATCCATTGCTCGACATCCGCATCACTCCAGCTTATGTATCTAAAGTGATTTCCTGCTTAGACTCTTCTACAGCTTGCGACCCGAACAACATACCTGTTATAGTCTTGCAGAGTGTTCTCTGGAGCTGTTGTCTATCCTTCCAAAACCATTTAACAAGTGCTTATCAGAGTCTTATTTTCCAGCATGCTAGAAAGCAGCATCTGTTATCCCTATTTTTAAAAATTCTGGAGAGCAATCCAATTCGTCTAACTACCGTCCCATTAGTCTTCTTCCTATCATAAGCAAGGTTTAAGAATCTTTAATTAACAAACACTTAATCTCTCATCTCAAATCTCATAACCTACTTTCTGATCATCAATATGGATTTCGATCTTCTTGTTCTAAAGCTGATTTGCTATCAGTAATAACCAATAGGTTTTATCGCACATTAGATAAATGTGGAGAGGTCAAGGCTATCGCTCTTGACATTTCTAAATCGTTTGACAAAGTTTGGCATGCTGGTCTTCTGCATAAGCTTTCTTCTTAGGGTGTATCTGGAAACATCTTTAAGATTATTGAATCCTTCCTTTCCCATCGTAGTATAAAAGTTGTCCTTGATGGACAGCACTCTTCTTATTCTGTAACCTCAGGGGTACCCCAAGGTTCAATCCTTGGCCCTATACTCTTTTTAATTTACACTAACGATCTTCCAGATATTCTCACATCTAAGGTGGCATTGTTGGCTGATGATACTACCATTTATTCTTGTCACAATAAGAAGCCAACTCCCTCTGATTGCTTGCAGGAGGCATCTGAGCTTGAAAAGGATCTCACCTCTGCTACAGCATTTATATATATGATTTATATATATTATATATAGATTTTTAGTATTAAATATCAATATACATATATATATATATATATATATATATATATATATATATATATATATATATATATATATATATTTTTTTTTTTTTTTATAAATATATATATATATATAAATATATATATATATATATATATATATATATATATATATATATATATATATATATATATATATATATATATATATATATATATATATATATATGTTATTTCAGTATTACTATATTAGTGCATCAACCTAATCTATAACAATATCAAAGTTTTAATAATGAACACTTTTAATTTTAAATTAGTTGAAGGAATAACCCACTTTTATGAAAGAATAAAGCTGTTAAAAATCCTAATTTGTTGACAGAATGTCTGGAAAATGTATCCGGTGATCAAGTTGCTTCTGGGATTCTTAAAAAAAAAAAAAAAAGTTAAAGAATTTAAGAAACTATATTAAGCATAATTTCCAATAAAAATTTGAAAAACAACCATGTTGTTGTTGGCACAACTGAGAATAACTATACTTTATAACAGAGTATCATTTTAAAATTTTAAAAATGTCAAACTACTTATGTCATGCTACTTTTGTCTATTGTAAGAAAGTAAGGACAATTTTAGACAAAACTCTGCATCTTTTAGTTGTCTCTGCAACTAAAAAAGTTACGTATTAATTTTGAATTTCCCATACGTATGTGATACTCAATACTACAAATTAGAATGGTAGCCATATTGATATTATTTGGAATTGTCATTGCGGTTAGTTCCAAATCATTATTTTCTATCCATTCTACCTGTATTGAACTTTAATCATAAGCAGTAAATGCCATTAATTCCTTCTGCCTTTGAAAATACATTAACAGAAATTACACTTTGTTTTTTAACAGCACCAAAATTTTTTTTATGCACAACTAAATGATTGTGAGGCATGACTTTTTATGTGCATAAAAAAATATTGTGGTGCTGTTCAAAAAAGTTGTGTGAACTTGTTATGATAGCTCTTTTAAGGCAGAAGACAAAGATAGAACAGACTCTGTAGATCCAGTTGTATAGCTGCAATTAAACTAAAGGAAAAAACAAGTTTCTAGTAAAAAAATGCTTACACTGCACTGTGTTGTTACAACCATCTCTGAATCCTTTAAGCTTAAAATATGAACTTTGACAAATACTGCTTGGCAAAACAAGTGATTCTAATTGCAGTGTTATAGAAGTAGCAATCAAGATATTTTGCATGGTAGTCACTTTATGTCCAAATCAATTTAACAGGCAGTTTTTTCCTATAAAAAGTTAACTAGGTTCTAGTTGAAAATGAAGAAATACTTCACATCTTTTGACTTTAAAGACATTTTAATTTAATTTTTTTGTAAACTCATCAAGCATTTTAATGCTTCTATAAACATTTTATAGACATTTTATACTGTTTTAATGCTTCTATAAACATTTTGTAGACATTTTATACTGCTTTAATGCTTCTTATTATTACCAACAAATGCTTTTAATAAAAAGAGATTCTTTTCAAGCTGCACCACAATCAATTGTAAAATAAGATTGTGTAATAATAAAGCTTGCAAAAAATTATAAAATTTACAAGACTTTCCTAAATGTAATTAATGTTTTCAATCCATTATGCAAGTATACAACTATGACTTATTTTAAATAAATGTTTTATGAAAGTTATTTAGACAAGACAAAATTTATTAATAAAAAATATTGCCTGAAACGATTTTGCTTTCGCTTTATAGAAAAAGAGGTTTTAGATCAAATAACTTTTACTTAATCATTTTTTTTGAGATCAAATCTTGATTCATGAACTATTGTTTGAGGACTATGTATTGATATATTTTGTTTCTCACTAGTAAAAAGTGTATTATTTTTTACAAGAAACAAAAATTGAATGAAAAGCAAAAGATAAAAAGAATTTCATTGCAGTATTTTATAATAGCATTTTATATTAATTATATTATTATATTAATTACATACAATATTATTTTCAAGGTGTAAAAATTCAGTTTAACAAATTGTAAAACCCATTGCTCTAATATCATTTTTTTTTAAAGCGAAACTTAAATATACCTCTAGATGTTATCAAATTTTTTCTTCATATAAGAAGTTTTTTGAAAAAAAATCATTGTACCTGAAAATATAAGAAAATATAAAATATGTGTTCAACAATTTGATTGTTAACTGAAAATTTATTATATATAATAGATGAAAATCTGTTATATATTTTAGATAAACATTTAATATATATTATAGATTTTCATTTAACAATGTAATTGTTAAATACTTACTTATTTTATATTTTCAGGTTCCATTATTTAAAAAAAACTGAGTTAATATTAGTTAACATAGTTAACTCAGTCATAACTGAGTATATAATTGAGTTAGCATGACTTAACATAGACCAAATTATTGTACCTGAAAAAATAAAAATATATAAAATACGTAAGTATTTGTTTTTCATACAAATACTTACGTACTTTATATTTTTTTATATTTTCAAGTACAATGATTTTGTTTATGTTAACTAATTGTCAATTAGTGAACTCAAATATGAAAGATGAGCCATACACTAAAAAGAATTAGTATAACTGATTCAAATAGTGATTTTGCATATCAATAATGTTTACAAATCTATATACTTGGGCCCCAAGTATATAGATTTGTAAACATTATCGATATGAAAAATCGCTATTTGAATCAGTTATACTAATTCTTTTCAGTGTATGGCTCGTCTTCCATATTTGAGTTCACTAATTGAAAATGAGTTAACATAAACAAAATTATTGTATTTGAAAATAGGATGTCCCCAAGTTAAGGACATCAAAACATAATAATATTTTTTCACATATTCCTACAAACATTAGAATAAAAGCAATAATATTTAAAAACATAAGCTCACCTTTAATTCAGAAAATTTTTTAATTTTGTAAATCAACACTTTAAAAGTCTAATATATATTTTATACTGAATAGCTGATGTAATAATATAATAAATAAATACGTGTCTGATGTAATAAAACGCAAGTTTTTTACGCAATATTTTCTTATGCAACTTTTCCAACGTGTCCGCAATGCTAAAATGGCGGACACGTTGGAAACGTGACAAAACAATGCGATCAAGACTAAAAACAACATTTGCTTGTTTTGATATTTTAGATTCTAGATATAGAACCCTGATAAATACCCTAAATGTTTTTTTTTAAATTGAAATGTGCATCAAGAGATAATGATTAAAGTTCTTGCAACAGCTTGTTTGAAATAGGGTTTTGATAATAAGACATCACAAACAATATCCTTGTTAAAAACTGTTAAAAAAAAAACAATAGTTTGGAGATCATTGTTTCTAACACAGCTCATTACTAATAAAATTTGTTTTGTAATTGTATTTAAATACAATATACACCTTTCTATCGTGAAAAGTAACAAAAATAGTACAAAACAAGAATTTTTAATACATTATTAGTGACGTTCAGGGTCATTATTGTTGTTGGTCAGCAAATTTGATCGATTGAAGTAGGTTAGGGTATTATGAGCACCTTAAGCAATCGATTTATCATTTTTAATTTTATTAACCAAAACCTACAATAAAAAAACAAATTTTTTAAATTTAGATTGCAGAAGATATTTAGTCAGTAAGACCAGGGCAAGATGACTATGTTAACAATTTTATCTGCTCATTAATTTATTTTCAAGGATAGTAAAATTAATTTTACGTGAACATGTTAGAGTAGTTCATTGTGATAATAAATATATTAACATTTGCATAATATATTAACATCAAATAAAGTAAAAAAATAACTTTTTTATTTTTCACAACCTTAAAAAATAGTCATCTTGCCCTTGTATTGGGACAAGATAACATTACCCTTGGGGCAAGATGACAACACAGAAAATAGTTAAGCATATTTTATCTTTTGAATATGTTACATGATTTAATAAATGATAACTGTGTTTTTAAATCTTACAAACTATCGAACTTAGCGTAATGCAATGTAACGTAATGTTGAAGTGTTTAATTGTACCGCTAATAATAGTCACAAATAAAAATACTGTTTTCATATGAGGAACATTCCTCGTGCCACTAATGTTGGCATTTACAGCACTGAATCCATTCTTCTGTTGAAGGGTTACAATATTCCTCTTCACATGCAAGACATCTTATAACATCACCCTTTGATTTTGATACAACAAAAATGTTTGTCCTGTATTTTATAGACTTAGGCTTACAGGAACTTAGCTTGAGTTTATTTACACTCTTTTTAGCTTCACGAGCTTCTTTTTTCTGTTTTTTTAAACTTTCTTGTTCTTCTTTCTGCTTATTTTTGTTTTAACAGTTCTTTAAAGTGTGTACTTGTAAGAATGCTTGAGCTAATTTTTTTACTTTCTTGTTTTTTCTCACGTTCTTTTGCTTTAGGCAATAGTTTGAAATCAAAAACACTAATCAAATTCTTTGGTGTATCGTAATCAGCATTTGTTATAAATTCTTCTGGATGGTTTGCATGATGGTTATCTACTACTTGTGTCTGAGGATTAGCATTATTGATCTCTGTTTGATTGCCAACACATCATAGTTAGTAGTTTTTGCAGCAGTGATCATAAGATAATATTGTCACATACTTGGCTATAGTAGGTCTTTTATGGGCCAAAAAATGACACATGAAGAGGCTTGGTTTTTGACACATGAAATGAAACATGAAGAGGCTTGGGTTGTCGCCCCATGGGGCGACAACCCAACCATGGTTTGGTGCTTTAAAGCAGGATTCGTAAAAAAAAAGTACCGACTCCAACTCCAATTGCTGAAATTTCAGAGTACGACTCTAACTCCGACTCCAACTCCAAAGCACAATTTTTGAAAACTTCTTTAAATTCTTTAAAAAATATTACGCGACAAGTAAAAAAATTTTTTTTGCCAAATTTATGAAAAATTATTTGAGGTTTAGTATGAATATAAGGCTAATTGAATATTTTGTACATGCACTTGCAATACCAAGAAGCTTTACTTTTGGAGTCGGAGTCGCAATTTTGTTTAGCGAATCCAACTCCAACTCCGCTAAAAATGTCGCAACTCCTACATCTACTCAGACTCCAACTCCACAACCCTGCTCCAAAATTATGCAAGTTTTGTGGTTGTGAATAATCAATAAAGCAGAAGATTCTTGGCTATATTTCACGTGTAGATAAAAGTGCTTCAAAAAATACGTACGTGCGCCCTGCCCCCCCCCCCCCCCGGTGTTGTTGGACCTGCAAATAAAACTTTAAATCAAATATATAAAACATTCATTTATTTTAAATAAATTATTTAGCTTATTTGCATATTGTTTATGGTTAATTTTATATTTAAGAAACCCGAAAAAAAAGAAACGATCTAAAACACAGTGAAACACAAGTTATTCTTTTAGATTGGTTTCAAAAAATTCTCGTCTTTTCCAGCTCCTAAGAACACTACAAGAAGTTTTTGTTTGAGGATCACTTAACCCTAGTATATTTTTAAATCTTTCGAGTTTACTAGCTGGCACCTTGTTTTCAGGAAAAAGGGCTTTCAACTTTGTTTTGTTTAGAATTTTGATATTAAAAATTTAGGCTCTTTGTTAGCAAGCTTTACTGAATTACCTGCATCCACTTCAGATAATTTTCGCTTTAGGATTTTTGTACAAAAAAGCTCTGTACCTTTCTCATCTGAAATATATTAATATATTTAATATAGGGGAAAGCGAGGCAACATGGCAAATGGGGCAAGATGGGTTTTCATATAACAACTAACAAAAAATCTTAAAATTGGTTGAAAACGAAACTGTATTTGCATCTTGTATTTTAAAACACCAATTGGTTTTTTGAAATATTATCAACGCAATTTTATACGCATAAGTTTACTTTTTGCGCTTAAAAAAAAATTCCTCGCTTTCGGTTTCTCATAATGGATGGTGTCCTTCAAGTTTAACTTCTTTAGAAGTAGTTTTTTGCGATTTGTATTTATTTTGTGTTACTTTAGCTAGATTTTTTGGCAGTTTTTAAAATTTTATAAAATTGGAGGTAAAAGTTGCATAATAAGTCATCTTACCCCGGTCACGTGATCAGATAACAAATTTATGAACTTTTTATATTAATATTTATTTCAAATTGTTATATTTGCAAACTGAAAATTCATGCAGGCAATGAAGAATTTTGATAATTTTCTGTCGCGCGAACAGATACCAGAAGAAGTATGTATCTTAGCCAAGTCTAAATTTGGGATAAAATAATTTTGAAGTATTGTATTATATTACAATATATCATAATATAATACATTTAATATAATATATGGTATAATGTTATAATATAATAATATAATATAAAATATAAT